GGGGTGGGCCTGTGCGCGGAGGTGGCCTCTGCCTGGAGATCGGTTTCTCTTCTGTGTCCGCACCTCTTGGCTCGGGCCCCTGTGCTCCATGACTCCGGCATCTCCTGGCTTCGCGTTGGTTGGGGATGGTCCCTGTGCTTGGAGCACCTGAGTGTGCAGGGCCTGGGCCGGGGAGGAAGGGGTGGGGGTGCTGCCTGTGGGTCTCAATAGGAGGCTGAGGTTTTGGGGAGACTTTCCCGAGCTACCTTCACCCCAGTCCTGGTGCCGCTCATTTTTCCAGTGTAATAGGGGGGAGGAGCGCTAAATTCCATGCCCAGCTCTGCCGTTTGCCAGTTGTAAGACCTCGGGAAATCTCTTCCTTCTCTAATTTCTCTTTTAGAAGATTGGAACCCACAAAGATAGCAATAATGATGGTCCTTTATTTTGTGCTTACTTTGTGTCAAGCGAGATACAAAAACTGAAGCTCAGAGAGGACATATAATTTGTTCAAGATTACACAGCTAATAGGTGTCAGAGGTTGGATTTCACCCCAGGCCTGACTCCATAAGCCGTGGCCTTAACCAGCAGGCTAGCCAGCCTTTAGGGCACACTCCCCAGTGAGAAGAGGGAGGTGGAAAGGCCGAGGATCCCCCCCTCCCTGATACCTTTTATTTAGTTTGTGACCAGCAAACACTTGCCCTGACCCGACCTCCTAGCCTTTCCTCACCTGGTGCTGCTGCCTCTGAGCTCCAGACTGAAGGGGCAGCAAAGAAGTGGGCTGTGACCATTGCAGGCCTTCTTCACACAGGCCTTGGGTGCTGGGCCCTGGGGTCAGCTTCCCAGACAGTTGCTGTTTCAATCCATCATCCGTCCACCCTCCTCAATGAGCAACCTCCCTGAGAGCTGGACTTGGGGACACGTGAGGCAGGGTCTCCGAGCTCTGTAGGCCTAGCTCCTCCTAGAGCTGGGGCAGTGAGGCTGTGGCTGAGGTCGGTCCAGCGAGCCCCTGAAACCTTTCTGGGCCTCCGTGTCCGCGTCTGTTATAGAGGTTATTAAGGCTCCCACGGGGAAAGGTAAGAACGGCACTTGCGAAGCATATGGTACACATCGGAGGGTCTGTTGTAGAGAAGGGAGATGACTTTTTAGACAGCCCTTTATCGCTCCTGGAACCAACGCCTGGGAAAGTGGGTTGGGAAGGCAGCAGGGTGGGTGCAGCTAGACCTCGGGGAGCCTGCTGGCTGGGGCTTGTGGGGTGCGAGGGTTTTGGAAAGGGTAGGGAAGCAGTTGCTGCCCTTCCCCATTGCTCTCTGATGAGTCTAGGCCAGAGCGGGGAGTCTGGCTCGGGTGGGGCTCCGCCCCCAGTCCCACCTCAGCGGTGACTCGGTGTATGTGCCTCTCTTTCTCCTGCAGCTGCTGCCGCTCACCCCGTGTCTTCTGGCCGCTTCCCTCTTTGCTGCCCCTCCCCACAGGCTCCCCCTCTGCACCTCCTGGGGACCGTCATGAATGGTGCCCCTTCCCTGGAGGACGGGGCCTTCCCCTCTCCTCCTCCCTTGCCACCGCCCCCTCCCCCCAGTTGGCGGGAGTTCTGTGAGTCCCATGCCCGGGCCGCTGCCCTGGATTTTGCCCGCCGTTTTCGCCTGTACCTGGCCTCCCACCCCCAGTATGCAGGGCCCTGGGCCGAGGCTGCCTTCTCCCGCCGTTTCGCTGAGCTCTTCCTGCAGCATTTTGAAGCCGAGGTGGCCCGGGCCTCTGGCTCCCTCTCACCACCCATCCCGGCCCCTCTGAGTCCTGGTGTGGAGATCCCGCCACATGACCTGTCCCTTGAGAGCTGCAGGGCGGGCGGGCCTCTGGCTGTGCTGGGCCCTTCTCGATCATCTGAGGACCTGGCCGGCCCCCTCCCTTCCTCGGTCTCTTCCTCTTCTACAACCTCCTCCTCGAAGCCGAAGCTAAAGAAACGCTTCTCCCTCCGTTCAGTGGGTCGCTCTGTCCGAGGTTCGGCCCGCGGCATCCTGCAGTGGCGGGGGACCATGGACCCTCCCTCCCCAGCCGGGCCCCTGGAGACCTCGTCAGGCCCCCTGTGTTAGGTGGAAACCGCACCTCCAACTCCTCTGGTGGGACTGGGACCGTTGGCAGGGGGCTGGTTAGTGATGGACCATCCCCGGGGGACAGATGGACTCACCGTTTTGAGAGGCTGAGACTCAGTCGGGGAGGAGGGACCTTGAAGGATGGGGCAGGGATGGTGCAGAGGGAAGAGCTGCTGAGCTTCATGGGGGCGGAAGAGGCGGCCCCCGACCCAGCCGGAGTGGGCCGGGGAGGAGGGGCAGCGGGGCCCACCTCCGGGGGAGGAGGGCAGCCTCAGTGGCAAAAGTGCCGCTTCCTGCTTCGAAGTGAAGGAGAAGGAGGCGGAGGAAGTCGCCTGGAGTTCTTTGTACCACCCAAGGTGAGACCCGGAGGAGGGGTGGCTGGGAGTGAACGGTTGAACTGCCAAAGTGGTCATCGCCCACATGCTTACTTTGTTTTTTCGTTTGTTTGTTTGTCTTTTATGTTTTTATTGATTTCAGAGAGGGAGAGAGAGGTAGAAGCATCAATGATGAGAATCATTGATCAGCTGCCTCCTGCACGCCCCCTACTGGGGATGGGGCCCACAAACGAGGCATGTGCCCTGACCCAGATCCAACCATGACCTCCTGGTTCACAGGTTGATGCTCAGCCACTGAGCCAGACTGGCCGGGCTTTGGATTTTAAAGCTAGCTCCTGACTCTGAGCTAGGAGCTGTGGGCAGGACTGAAGGAGTAGTGTTACTCCTTTTGCCTAATTCCCTTAGGGTGTAGAAGGAAAGGTGGATCTCTGGAGGGAAGGGAAAGATGGTCTTTACCCACCAAAGGTCTGGGTCTTGTTCTCTTCCAACCTAGGCATCTCGGCCTCGGCTCAGCATTCCCTGCTCTACCATCACGGATGTGCGGGCGACCACAGCGCTGGAGATGCCTGATCGGGAGAACACATTTGTGGTTAAGGTGGGAGCCGTGAGCTCCCCTGCCCCCTGTTGGGGAGAAAGCATTCAGTACAGAACCCTGAAGCTACAGCCCTTCTGGGAGCAGGGGGGAGGCAGGATGTTTTTGTTCTCATTAGGGGTGCCTTAGGCCCTAGGAACTGGCAATGCCGATGGACCTGCCCTTGTCCCATAGGTGGAAGGCTCCTCAGAGTATATCCTGGAGACAGCTGATGCTCTACATGTGAAGGCCTGGGTGTCCGACATCCAAGAATGCCTGAGCCCGGGGTGAGGAAACCAGGGGCTGGGGTGGGAGCAGCCTGTCCTCTCACCTGGTGACATTCCTACCAGCACCATTTTCCCTGTCTCTGCAGGCCCTGCCCTGCTACCAGTCCCCACCCCATGACCCTCCCACTGGCCCCTGGGGCCTCATTTCTTACAAGAGAGAACACAGACAGCCTGGAACTGCCCTGCCTGAATCACTCAGAGAGTCTGCCCAGCCAGGATCTACTGCTGGGACCCAGCGAGAGCAACGACCGCCTGTCCCCGGGGGCATGAGCGCCTTAGAGAGCTGTGAACCTCAGACCCGCCATGTAAGACCCCCTGCTTTGGGGCTCCAGGCCCTCTCTCCAGCGTAAACCCTTTCCTGCCTCTCAGCTACCCGCCCCCACCCACCAAATGTTTGTCTTTTGTCCCAGAACATGCTAAGCCACAGTTTGCCATTTAGGACCATCAGCATCACCGCCCCACACAAGCTGCAAGGAAACTCCTAGCCTGCCTTCTCTGCCCAGCCTTGCCACCTTTCCCGTGAGCCTGTGCAGACCACCACTCTGGCTGCAGATACGCTTCTCGTCTCCTAGCTTCCAGAACACTTTGTACACATCTTTGTTTTGCTCTCTGTGTCTCTGTGCATGTGTCAACGATACCAATGTTCTTTAATTGTACTTCTTAGCCGGACTAAGCACGTGCATACCCTTACCCACACACATAAACACAGACTTGTAAATCTGCCTGACCCAGCTCACCTTTCCACACTCCACTACACCCTTTCCTCATGACCCTCTATTCTGAGTTTCAGGGTCACAGTGCCTAGCATATAACTAAAGGCTGTGTTCGATGAGTAAAACGAATGATAGAATCTTAAAGCTAGAACAGACCCTACAAGCCATCAGTTCTAATTCCCTCTGTTCTTAGGCAGCTAACACCAGGGAAGAGAAATGGCTTTCCCAGTGTCACCTGAGCGTCACTAACAAAGATGGGCTATGCCAGCTTGATGCCTGAGCCACTGCGCTCCACCCTGCACACATACTCATCTGAGCGGTGACCGTGTGCAACATGCCCGCCTGCCACTCGGCAGATATTCGGGAATGCCCTGGTACCTGCCTGGCTCTTTGCTAGGCTCGGGCAAGGTGGGGGTGCAGGCATGCCTGAAATTAGCTCCTTGCCCTCCATGGGCTCACAGTCTAGCTGAGCAGACAAGACTTCTAAAAAGCAGGGCTTTAAAATGGAGAGTTTGTGCTTAGCGTTCTCTGAGCGGCACAAGCAAGAAAAAAGTGCCTTGGGAGCTCAGAGGAGGAAGAGAATCAGGGCTAGAAGGAGGATTTAAATTTTTTTTTTTTTCATTGATTTGAGAGAGGAAGAGAGACAGAAACATCAATAATGAGAGGAAATCATTGATTGGCTGCCTCCTGCTTGTTGACCGAGCCTGCAACCCAGGCATGCGCCCTGACTGGAATTGAACCTGGGACCCTTTGGTCCGCAGGCCGATGCTCTATCTACTGAGCCAAACTGGCCAGGGCATAGAAGGAGGATCTTTGATGCCTCTGAGAGTTGGCTTTGTCCTATTGACCAAAAAAAGGACCCCCCCCCTTTTTTATTTTGCCAGGGCCTGGGCAGGACCCCCATTTAAAGAAAAATGTTTTTATTGATTTCAGAGAGGAAGGGAGAAGGAGAGACAGATAGAAACATTAATGATGAGAGAGACTCATTGATTGGCTGCCTCCTGCATGTCCCCTACCAGGGCTGGAGCCTGCAACTGGACATGTGCCCTGATGGGAATCTATCCATGACCTCCTGGGGTTCATGGGTTGATGCTCAACCACTGAGCCACAAGGGCCAGTCAAGTTGAGACCCCCTTTTTAAAAAATTTTTGTTTTGTTAATCCTCACCTGAGGATATTTTTCCATTGATTTTAGAGAGAGTGGAAGGGAGGAGAAGAGAGAGAGAGAGAAACATCGATGTGAGAGATATACATCAATTGGTAGCCTCCCACACACGCCCTGACCAAGGCCAGGCATTCAGCCTGCAATCTAGGTACATGCCCTTGACTGGAATTGAACCAAGACCCTTCAGTCTGCAAGCTGACACTCTGTCTACTGAGCCAAACCAGCTGGGGCGAGGGACCCCTTTTTAATGCAAAAATATTTGTCTCCATTTCTGCTGTCAGTTCAAAAGATAGTGGCTCCATGGCTAGTGTGTCTTAGTGGTCAGACCATCAGACCTCACACCAGAGGGTTAGGGTTTCGATTTCCAGTTAAGGACACATACCTGAATTGCAGGTTTGGTCCCCTGTCCTGGTCAGGACACGTGCAGGAGGCAGCTAATTGATGTGTCTCTCACATCCATGTTTCTTTCTCCCTTTCCTTCCTTCCCTTCCACTTTCTAAAAATCAGTGGAGCCCTGGCCTGTTTGGCTCAATGGTTAGAGGGTTGGCCTGGGGACCGAAGGGTCTCGGGTTCGATTCCTGGTCCAGGGCATGTACCTTGGTTGCAGATTCCCCAGCCCCGGTAGGGACACATGCTGGAGGCAACCAATCAATGTCTCATGTCAATGTTTCTCTCTCTCTTTCTCTTTTTTTTAAGATATATTTTATTGATTTTTCACAGAGAGGAGGGGAGAGAGAGAGCGAGCCAGAAACATCGATCAGCTGCCTCCTACACACTCCCACTGGGGATGTGCCCGCAACCAAGGTACATGCCCTTGACTGGAATCGAACCTGGGACCTTTCAGTCTGCAGACCAGTGCTCCATCCACTAAGCCAAACCGGTTTCGGCTCTCTTTCTCTTTTTCTCCCCCTCACCCCTCCTCCTTCCTTCTCATCTCCCTCCCTCCTTTCCACTCTAGAAATTAATGGAAAAAATATCCTAGGGTGAGGATTTAAAAAAACAATAAAAATAAATGGAAAGATATCTTTGGGTGAGGATTAAAAGCAACAACAAAAAAGGCAGAGGCACTTTTGGATTCTAGGACCTCCTTTCAGTAACTGTAACCCCTGAGCAGTGTATGAAATCTAAGGTAGCTATTGGTGGAAAAATATCAGGGTCTCTGCCTGGAGAAGGATCCAACATTTCAGCCACCTGACCCTGCCAGTCCACACAGGGCGGACTAGTGGGAGGTGGCCCAGGCAGACCACTCCTGTCAAAGAGTAGCTTCTCTAGCCCTAGCTGGTGTGGCTCAGTGGATAGAGTGTTGGCCTGTGGGCTGAAGGGTCCTAAGTTTGATTCCAGTCAAGGGCACATGCCTGGGTTGCTGGCTCAGTCCCTAGTAGGGGGTGTGCAGGAGGCAGCAAACCAATGATTCTCATCACTGACTAGAGGCCCTGTGCATGAATTAGTGCATGGGTGGGGTCTGGCCGGCCGACCCTATTGGCCTGGTGGGGGGAGGGGCCAGCCGGTCCCGCCCACTGGTCAAACTCGGGGTTGAAGGAACAGTTTACAATTAGCCTTTTATATAGAAGGTTTCTATCTGTCTCTCCCTCTCCCTTCCTCTCTGAAATCAATAACATATATAAGAGTGTGTGTGTGTGTGTGTGTGTGTGTATATATAATTTTAAAAGTAGCTTCTCCAGTTCTCAACTTTGCCCTCCTATTTTTTTCCAGGGGCATATGGGGGCCTCTCAGACCGCCCTTCAGCATCCATCTCTCCTAGTTCCGCCTCCATTGCTGCCTCCCATTTTGACTCAATGGAACTGCTTCCCCCAGAGTTGCCACCCCGCATCCCCATTGAAGAGGAACCCCCAGCTGGGACAGTTCATCCCCTCTCAACCCCCTACCCATCCCTGGACACTCCAGAAACAGCCACAGGTACCAGAGTTGTGGGTGTGGTCTGTGCAGGCATGGTTGCCCACCTCCCTGAACCTTGTCCTGGGCTCCTGAGGGAGCTGACCCAGGGGAGGGAAGTGACACAGGAAGGGGAAGCCAGGCTCTTCTCCCAGGATGGGGGAGGCTTCCTTGACACCCAGCTTTCCCTCCCTCTCTCCTTCCTGAAGGGTCATTCCTGTTCCAGGGGGAATCAGAGGGAGGTGAGGGGGAGCAGCCCCTCTCAGGGTATCCTTGGTTCCACGGGATGCTCTCTCGACTCAAGGCTGCCCAGTTAGTACTGGCCGGAGGCACCGACTCCCATGGTGTTTTCCTGGTACGTCAGAGTGAGACGAGGCGGGGCGAATATGTCCTCACTTTCAACTTCCAGGGCAAGGCCAAGGTGAGTGACTGAGGAAAAGGCCTGTTCTCCACAGGGAGCTGGCGGGCGGAGTGGGGACATTGCCATCAGGGAGAAGTGTTCCGTATTGGCAGGGGCTTGGGCTCCTGCTTCACCTCGCTCATCCTGCCCTCAGCACCTGCGTCTGTCGCTGAATGAGGAGGGCCAGTGCCGGGTCCAGCACCTGTGGTTCCAGTCCATTTTTGATATGCTCAAGCATTTCCGGGTGCACCCCATCCCTCTGGAGTCTGGAGGCCCCAGTGATGTTGTCCTTGGCAGCTATGTTGTGTCCTCCCAGCGGCAGCAGGGTGAGCAGAGCAGGTCTGCAGGGGAGGAGGTGCCCGTGCACCCAAGAAGTGAGGAGGTGTGTGCGCCAGAAAGGTGGGGTGGGGGCCTGTGAAGAGGAGAGGCTTTGATGGGGAGAACAGGGGCCTGTGTGTTGGGGTTTCAAAGGGAAAAATGTATGCCGAGGAGGTAGGAAGGCAGAGGGCTCCTGCTGGAGCTGGGAGGAAGTTGAGAGTGGGTTGGTGCATTCCCATTCCATCAGACTCCTCTGTTCCATCATTTGTCTGTCTCCTAGATACACCGCCCCATGTCTTTGCCCTTCCTCATCACCTTGCCTTGGGCCTGCCCTTTTGGGGAATGCTCTGTTTGATCCCCCTCCCTCTTCCCTTAATGTTTGATGTCCCTGTCTGATCTCTCCCTTTTCCCTACCCCCACGTCCCATCTGTCCCCACGTTGCCCCTCCCCCCCAGGCCGAGAGCAGGCCGGGAACCATGCAGGGGTGTGCGAGGGAGATCGATGCTACCCCGATGCCTCCTCCACCCTCATGCCCTTCGGAGCGAGTGACTGTGTGTAAGTGTGGTCCTCCTCTCACCTCCGCCCATGATCCATCTTCCATGGATTGGGGGGTTGCTCAGAAGATGGGATGTGGGGAGATAGCACATGGCTCCTGGGGGGGATAGTGAAGGGGAGGCTGCTGCAAGAGCTTGCCACCCTCCACAATTAGTCTGTCTTCTTACCATTCCTATCCAGAACCGAACACCTCCCACGACCCACCCCCACCCCCTGAACCCCCTTCATGGACAGATCCCCCACATCCTGGGGCAGAAGAGGCGTCGGGGATGTCAGAAGTGGCAGCAGCAACAGCCACAGCAGCCAAAGAGAGGCAAGAGAAAGAGAAAGTGGGCAGTGGAGGGATCCAGGAAGAGCTGGTCCCCGTGGTTGAGCTGGTCCCCGTGGTTGAATTGGAAGAGGCCTTGACACCAGGCATGGAGGTCCGGGGAGGCCCTGGATCTGGTGGGGTCCCCGAAGCAACACCGATGGTGCAGCTCCAGCAGTTACCACTAGGGGGCGATGGAGAAGAAGGGGGCCACCCCAGAGCCATTAATAACCAGTACTCCTTTGTGTGACACCCTACCCCCACCCTTTCCATTTTCTTTCAGCCCTCAGTTCCTGAGACGGGGGCTGAGCAGGGACATAGAGGAGCGGTAGGAATCCCCTCCCCATATGCTTCCTTACCCTTGATGGCCAAGGGCATATATGTTGGTACAAGAAGAGGTTCAAGAGTCCCGTTAACTCCCCAGTTCATACACTACAGGTGCCCCGTCCCCTGGGGAGGGGATTTGGGCTCCATTACCTCTCCAAGGGGCTCTATGGTCAGCCCCGCCCCTGGGGGCCATTTCCCCATTATCTACCCCCAGCCCAAGGAGGGGTGAGGGGGAAGGGCTGTCAGTTAATATTAAGGTGGTTGTTGTTGTTGTTTTAAACAAAATGGAGAAGCATAAATAAATAAAGGGTTTATCTCAGTTCATCGTGGTGACTGTGGCCAGTGTTTGCCATGAGGGCTGGGACGGGGTCAGGAAAGTAGCCCACTTGAGTTGTGAGCCCCAGAGCTGAGCGGCTGGTCCGATGAAGTCCCTTTGCTCCCTAGTCCTGCACTTTCTGTCCTTTGCTTCTTGGGACTGCCGTGTGTGTTGAGCCAAACAGTGCTTCTCGGGGTCTCCAGGCACGTTCTCCTAACGAGACAAGACAGTGAGCCGCAGGACCAACGATCTCCAAGGACCCTTCCTGCTCAGAATTCTTCAGTACGGCTCCCTCCTCAGGGAGCAAGCTGGCAGAGAGGCCATGGGGCTGGGCTGGGCGTGGGGCTGTGCTGGGAGAGACTTCACACACAGTCTGGCTGCAGAGGGGCCCAAGGCCAGGCTGACGCTCCCCTTCCCAGAGCCAAGCTGGGAGGTGGAGGAAGATGGCAAAGGACATTGGCTTTGCCTCTCGCTTGCTGTGTGGCCTTGGCAGTGTGTAGCCCCTCCCGGCCTCAGTGTCCTCATCTAAAATAGGAGGTTGCGTCTAGGCGGGAGCTACTGACATTGCTTGCTTGACCTGGATAATGTTTCCATTGAAATTTCACATAAAAGTTCAGATGATTGGCTTTTCTTGAAAATCAGATGATCCAGCTTCATGCAGTTGGTCCACCTTCCGCATCTCATCCCCGCAGACCACTCACATGATGTGCCTTCCCTGTGGGTATTGAGTCTGCAACAGCTCCCGCCCTCCTCGAGTCCCTCCACTCCCAGCCAAGTCCTTCTCTAGCCCAGGCTCTGCTCTCTGGGCTGCACTGTGCCCTCCAGTGGAAGGCACCCCTGGGCTTCCTGGCTCTGCGGGTGGTGGGTGCCAACAAGGAAGGGCCAGATTCTGAAGACTCACCTATTTGTTGTTAATCCTCATCCCACATTGATTTTTAGACAGTGGAAGGGAGGGGGAGAGAGAAACATTGATGTGAGAGAGACACTGACTGGTTGCCTCTCCCACATGCCCCAGCTGGGGCTGGGAATTGAACCCGCATCCCAAGTACATGCCCTTGATGGGGAATCGAACCCGAGACCTTTCGGTGAGAGGGCCAACACTCTAACCACTGAGCTCACCAGCCATGGCAGACTCTTACCTATTTTGCTTGGCCCTCTCCCCTCCCCGCCTCCATCCAGCACTGCCTCTTATCATTCTGCCTCTCCCTTTTCCTTTCACGCCCCTCAGCCTCTGCCCCCACCTCCTGGCCCTTTCCATGCTTATGACCTTGCTATTCTGGGCCTGTGTCCTGTCGGGAGATGGACAGGAGACAGCTGGGCTCACAGGCCACCCGGCTTTGGGCTAGCCGGGGGAAGCCTGCTGGCTCTCCCCGTTCTATCTAATCCCTGGGACTCCCCCAAACCTTGGCCTTAGGAGAATGGGGATAGACTTGGCCTTGTAAAGGTGAGGATGGTTTGGGGATCTAGGTGCTATGTATTCTAAAAGTGAGATGGTGAGGAAAGACTGGCACCCCAGTGTAGGCAGTGTAGGGCCTGATCCCCTCCTAATCTAGCAGCAACTGGTGCTGCGAGGCTCCCCCTCCCTCTAAACTCTGGCAGCCTCTGGGACTTGTCTTCTGAAGGTGGGTGAGGAGGGGTACATGGACCCCTCCTATACCCCAAGATTTGCATGTTTTGGCTGGAGGAACCTAAGAGACGATTTCCCTGTAAGCCTTTCTGGATGGTTCCACTCGAGTTCAGAACTGGTCAGGGAGTGGCCAGGCTCTATCTCCACATCCTTCAGAATTGGACCTCTCCCATTCTAAGCATCCGACATAGGAAGGGAGAACCAGCTCGGCTTGGAGACCCCAGTGGGAGGAATCCAAGAGCCAGTGCCTCATTGCTCAGCCGTCCTCCATCCCTGTTCACACCCCGATGATGATCCCTTGCGGCTCTTGGCTGGTGGCTTTCCCTCTCTGGCTGCAGTCCCCCCCCTCTGGGAAGTGGAGGGAGCTAGAAATGACTAACCTTAAAGGGCCCTGTTGGCAGCAGCATCCTGTAAAGCCTGCCTCCTTTCCTCAGCTCTCAACTCCCTTGAAGCTGTGATCAGTCTCTCCCCCTT